TTCTGTTGATCGCGATGATGTTTAACCCTAACCTCATCGCGATCAACAAGAAGGTCGGGCAGCCAGAGGCTGCCATGGGCATCCTTACATACGCCCAGAACAAGCTGGGCAGTGAGGTGTCGGTCAAGGACGGCTGGCTGGCCGGCCAAGCTCGGACACTGGGATGTAAGTGTCCAAGTGACTTGTTCTTGTTGTTGTTGGTGGTGGTGGTGCTGTTCCGTTGTTGTCACTCTAGTATCGGTCCCGGTCTCTGCTCAGATACGTAGTGATATCTGTAATAGGTCCAACTGAACGGGTGCCTTTCGTGGTCACAAGTCAACTACCCAAAAAGAGTGCACAATTGGACAAACAACTAGGAACGAATAACAATGGACCTCAAAAGGATATCATGAACGCCGTTTAGAAAAAAAGTGGGCTGGCTCATGAGAGCACAGTGTCATCAAGGGGGTGGCGCAAGATGATCATTAAAGGCGCAAGATTATAATTTAAGCAGCCAGAAGACCAACTTACAGTTGGCTGCCAGCTGTGGTGTGACATTTCCCATGCTCAACAGCTCCGACAGCTGACGTGTTTTTGTCTCGAACAGCCCTGCGAACCTCATCGAACCAAGAGAAACACTAACAAATCTGAAACCGTCTTTTTAACAATGTGTGGTTGCTGCTACGCGTATGCTTTTTCCGACCTTCCGATGAACTTAGTGCCGCCGCAGGTGTCTGATCGTTTCGAAAAACGTCTTGCCGTTTCAATTTTCTCGTTGACCAACTTACATGTTTCGAGCCGTTTCTTGGGTTGCGTCTTCATTTGTTCGTGGGGACGGGACCATTTTTTTTGTCTCGTCATTTTCATGTTGCAGATCCGCGTGTTTACTACTGTTAGTAGTATTTACTTCGGGAAGGTGTGGGCAACGCACAGGAAGCCGTCATTTTCATCTTGCGTTCCTCCGCGGTGTGTTGAATTGTTTTTGCTCATTATTTTGATTACATGAGCTCTCACACATACAGCGTTTCTGCCGTGTTTAAAAATGAGCTTCAGGAAGCTATCACCCTTTCTACGGCATTAGGCATTATCCTTGTGTTCCCAATCAGTGTGCTTCGTATTTACGTTTTGTTTTTCGGAAACGATGGCGCTACAGAAGTGCGGCATCCTCTCATGTTTTCAATCAGCCGCGTTTTAATTTTTTCATCTTTACATATTGTTTTCGGAACCAATTATTGTGCTACAGGAAGCCATCATCTTGTACCGCCAGCGGCAGGAGGCCGACCCCACGGACACAGGCGCTATCCTTGGGTGCATGAAGTGCATGGACGCTATGGGGGAGTGGGGGGACCTCGTAAGCCTCTGCAACAGCAGCTGGGACCACATCCACACCGTCGGCGGGGATGCGGCCGTCGCCAGGAAGGCCGCGACCATGGCGGCGAGGTAAGGAGAGTTTGTCTTAAGTGAAGGGGGGTAGATCGTCTTATATTTTGTGGAGGATACCCGGTTGTCTTAGTGCCGTCGCCGGGAAGGCCGCGACCATGTCGGCGAGGTAAGGAGAGTTTGTCTTAAGTGGAAGGGGGGTAGATCGCGTCTTATTTAGGGAAGGATACCCGGTTGTCTTAGTGCCGTCGCCGGGAAGACGGCGACCATGGCGGCGAGGTAAGGAAAATTGGTCTTAAGTCAAAGTCAAGGGGGGGTAGATTCGTCTTGTTTAGTTGTCGATATTCCATTGCGGCCGAGA